AGTTGGCGAAACATATCTGCCGGTGGCGGGGTGGGAAGGTGCTGCTGTCAACTGTGGAGCAATGGACACTGGAAGTGGTCTCAGAAGGAGTGCTGTGATATCTGCTTCTGCAAGTCGTTCTCCGTTGTGAAGGGATGCGCCGCTATTTTGTAGTTCCAATGGATACTTAGTCTGGTAACGCCACACCGATAGCCCAGTGGGAATAACATTGGGGCGGAAGTATGTATAAATAACTAAATAAAGAAACGCCACTGAGGTCAAATTCTGGCACGATCACCTCCATTGTGCTCAATTGCTTGTGCTGCCTGAAACTTTTTAATACGGGCTCTTCCTATGGCACTGGATTTCGTGAGAGATTGTAACCGATGCGTGCGTCTCAACTCAAACAAGATTTAGACCATTCGTGTTTTTAAACTGTTTACACCTCGGCGCGAGACCTATAGCGCGGAATCGACTAAAATAGGGAGTGGCGGGGGGGGCGGGCGGGCAGGGTGAACTTTTATGTGCAAAAAAAAAACCACTCTAATTTAAATTCAGACGATAAAAGATTGTAGGGCCCGTGGCGTGGCACGCAGGCCGCACTGTCGAACGGCGAGGCCTGTCGCCGCCGCCGCTGCTGCTCGCAGGCACGCGAGTCAACCGAGGTGAACCGCACTCGGGCTGCCGAGGAGGGGACCGGTGCCAAAAACGCACTCCTCGGTGCTGCCAGCGGCAAAATGTGGCTGGGGAGAAAATAAAATATAAAGTCAATGCAGTAACTTTTAACTGCGCACATGAATGGGAAGCGGTGACATTTTACGAGACCATAATTAAAGTTGGGATTTCTTAAAAAGATGCTTGTTCCATGTAAGTGAACGCTATTAACCAACCTTAGGCCAATATTACTTAACTTTTGTCGGTTTCATAAGCTTATGTTGTGCAAGTTGCAGTTTGTAAAACGAGCAGGTGTCGATAGTTTAGCCCCTCATGCTGTGAACTTGCAACTCAACAGTCACCATAGCAGATGGTACGGAATAAGGATAATAATAATTTAAATTGTTTTAAATAAATAATAGTTACAGCCCCACTGTCAAATTTGTTGCTGGATGAAAGCCTCCGTATGCCAAATCGGTCATGGGGTTGTTGTTGTTGTTTTTTTTTACCATACTTCACCGCTCTTGGTCAGTGTCAATTGGTGAAAGGAGAAGCCCAGGGCCGGTTCAAATGTTACTCGCCAATGGTGTCAGCATTGGCTGATAATTGAGCTCCGGTTACCAGGGTCATAGGGCAGTGCGCTGACTAGAGTTCCACCTACTCCCTCCCAATTGAAATGTACGAAGTGTCTGCACGATCAGATTATCTGAAGATGCTGTACGAGATGACCGTGTAACCTTGAACATTACATATATACAAACATTATTTTAACTAATGTTGTTGTCGGCCTCTCATACCCCACTGATGGGTAAAGGACTTCCTTATTTTCTTCCATTCCTTTCCTAAGTTGCTCCTGTCCAGTAGTGGCCTCAACTTTTTTATTCCATTTAATTCCCATATAACATAATCTTTATTTGTATTGGAGGAATCTGATAAGCTAAAAAGCTCTTTTTTACAGTCTCTTCCTCTGCTAATTTTACCGTCTGTTTCTGTCCACTCCACAGTTAATTTATTCTCTAATCGCTCATCTGTCGTTCTATTGATGTGGCCTTCCCATCGCCACTTGATTTCCCTTTTTGCTTTAACAAACTAATCGTAGCCAGTGCATTCAAACTTTGAACTGGACGAACACAAAGCACTGAAAAATGTTAAAGGGACACATTTAATCGTGTATCTATCTTTAACCTCCATTAAAATGCTTTTGAGTTTGTTAACATGATGAAATTAAACAAAAATACCACGATCGTTTCAATGTGTCTGCAAACGAGGCTTGCCAAAAAACATTTCGCCATAAAATGTCTGCGTTTGTTTTGGCACGCGTGGTGAATGAAGAAGCCCCCTGTAACACAACCGTGGGGAGGCACGAGGTTTGCGGTGAAGTCCTCTGGTGAGACGATATTACATTTCATGATATGAAGATTGCTATTACGAACTCAGTTTCCTGTAACTTTGTCATTCGCATTTTTCGGTGTATTGTCTTTTGCTCATCTGTACTTCCATTAAAAATACGGATGATTTAAACATTATTCAACTGCACAATCCATAACAACGTATCACGCGTGTGCTATCAATTGCCCTAACCATAACTCAACTAATCACTAAATGAACTATTCAAATTATGACATTTACTCAAACATGTTTTCAAGCATTAAATTGATTGATGGCACTTGGCCCCAGGTGACGAATTGTCTAATCTATCTCTGGCACCGATAAATAGTCGGAATACATTTTTTTTCAGGAAGACGAAATGAGCTACGATGACAATATACAATCGTGGTTTGCAAAACGGACGGTACAATTATATTATCACGGGAACTTGTATCGTGTGATGTCACATTTTTCAGAATCGGACTATTTACACTTGAGGAATCCGATGAGCTACGAAGCTCTTGTTCACAGATGTGCAGTAGGGGCACGGGGTCAGAACGCTACATTGCCATTTCATTGCGAGCCGAGCAGGCCCACGCGTCGATTCGCGCCGGCGTGGATCATTTTGTGCTGCTTGGGGATCAAGCGTGCCCGTCGTGGTGTCTGTGCATGGCAGTAGCTGGCACAAGTACGTAATGTGGACACTTCGTGCTGTATTTGAAAGTCAAGGGCAGTCTCACCCCCCCCCCGCCCGCACGCACCGCACCGTGTAACTTAATTGCATTGAAATGCCTGCGCGTGCACACTCGCTGAAAACGTTGGGCTCGTCCGTACAAGGCGAGATTGTCGCCACGTAAATGTAATTGAGACGAGGGAAGGTAAGTTACAGAATGTGTGTGTGTGATGCTATTGTTTACTTTAAAAATAGTCTCGGCTGGCTCCATATGTACGTGTGTAGCTGCTATTGCTGTGTTGACACTGTGATATATGGAACCACTGTTAATGATGAACCACAGCTTCGTGTGTGTGTGTACTTCAACGCAACAGTAATTTGGGTTCAATGCCCAAGGCTTCCTATTGTTGTTGTCACAAGTAGCCAACAAATCTGTTTTATATTTATGTTCATAATTTACCAATTCATCTGGAGTATGTATGCACGTGTGTTGAACATCTTTTCACACCGTACGTAGCCAACAGTGCTAATCGGGAGTGCACCTGATCTTGCAAGCGAAGTAGCGTTGACCCTGGCTAGTGCTTGGATGGGCAACCACTATGCGTGGCAGGTTATTGTAGGCTATGGACCGTGGCAGTCCACCGTAGAAGGCAAGAGTTGCAGTAGTACAGCAACGTCCATTGTTGTTGTTAAGTACTATCCTTCCAGTCTTCACTGACCAGCATGGCCAAAGTACGGTGATGACACGAGAAGGCCTTCTTCATTCAGCATCGGAGGGGAACATGGCTGATGATGATTGACGATGACGATGATATTTAGTGGCCGTGTGTTTTTAGAAATGTTCACACCGCTGAGCAATGCCAAGCTCGCACTCGCGTGTCACCGACGCTCCGCTGGATCTCTTCTCACGTCTGTTTTGCGGCAGTAAAAAGTACGCCGGTGCTGGACCCAACCTAGCTGCGCTTGCTCCCTTTTTCAATTCCCCCCCCTCCCCCCATTGGCAGTGTTCCTCTGCCGATTTTATGAAGGGCTAGTGGAATTTAAAATGAAGGTTTGGGATGAAAAAGGGAAATTGTCAAAAGTGTGGCATCTGCCGTAAAGTGCGATTAAAGCCGCACCATCTGTTACAATGCTGACCTTGGGAGTGTCCACGTGACACTATTTCACGAGCGAAGGTCATCGGTTGCTGGGGTCATAACCCCAAGCCAACATTTGAGAAAATGTAAATAACATGTAATGGTCATGTGCACATTGGGTAAAATAACCATGAAGATAAAATCACGCTTGGTTCACGCTAATTTGTAAGCATGCAATCACACGTAACAGCCAGGTCTGTCGATTTGAAATGAGCAGAGTTGGGGTAGAGCTGTGGGCAGTGTGGTGCAGTGGTTTGGCGCACGGCACTGTAAGGCTACCGACGTGATCTCTGCACGGGTCAACCCTCCTTAAGCGACACTGACCAGTGCATGCTAAAGTCCACTCAAACCACCACCAAAACTTTGTGGAGAAGCCTTCATCTAGCAGTGGATTTACAAAAGGCTGTAAATTATCATTAGTTATTGAGTTGAGTTTTATGCCTCCTACTTATGAACGAACTTGGTAATGATATGTCAGAATGAGACATGAACTACGGTTGAAATGCATTAACATTCTCACTGTCCAAACAAACTAACAGACGATTAAACAAAGTAAAAGCTTTAGGGCCCAAAGAAGCCCAAGGGGCCCACATTAATGAAAAATTGGAATTAATCAAATATGGACCCGTTCAGATCCTAATAAACATAAAAAAATGTACATAATCAATTAATGAATCTCTCATCTCAATCGTGTCTAGAGCTAAGTCGGACATGTGTATGTTGAATCGGAGGTGCCGGGGAGAACAGTGACGCATACCAATTACGTGCACATGGTATGCTGATGTGACGCTCGTCATCGTGCCCAGCTACCTCTGGATTGCAAGTCCAGCACGATAACCATAAGACCACAGCAGCATCCCATTGCCGTAGAGAAGGGGGACCCAAATTATTTGTAGAGTTCTCATTGAGTAACACCAAGGTGTGTTAACGTGTGGTGAAAAGAGTGGGGGTGGGACCAGAAGTGGACTTCTGCATCGGGCTGCATCACCACGGCCGATGATGATGATGATGATGATATCGACGGTGCTCTTGCTTGCTTGTTGTTGTAACTTTGTTGTTGTCATTTTCTGGCACGCCGCTATGGGGACATCTGCGAAAAAAAGAGCTTCATAGCTCATCGGATTCCTCAAGTCCTAAAATAAGGTTCGCCCGTTCGCTCACTCAATGTTTTTTTTTTTAAATGCGAGCAGGACCGGGTGGAATGAGCCCAAGATGGACCACGTGATGGCCGCAATGGTGCTGACCAGCCTGTCCTCCAGCTGCCCTACCGCGTCACCGGGGTCCCTCACCATGCCGGCCTTCAATGCCCCGGATGCACCCCTCCCCTCGGAGCCAGCCCCCAAGTGTGAGTAACCCCAACTGCTCTTTGACCTTCCGCCGGACACTGACATTTCTCCGGGTTGAGGAAGTTCGCGAGGAATTGGGGGGTCTCTCTCTCTCAGGGGGTCAGCCGTGCAATGCAAAACCATGGTGGAGGGGTGTTGTGTACACAGGGTCGGGGGCTGTGGGGGGTTGTGCCAGGACAAGAGCCGAAATAATGCAGAGTATTTTCCGCTCTGCAGCATCGCTAAGTCATTGGGCAGACTGTGGTTTCTGCAACCATTCACAGCGCCGCTTCTCCGGGGGCATATCCTGGCAGTAGTGCAGTTCAAACAACACATACGTTAGATCCATACGGGTAAACTCGATTCACCCGTTCGTGGATTATCCCGTGTCGCCGATTTTAATCGTGGTTGTTGCGAAAAAAAATGAATAAAAAGGTCTTTCCCTTACACGCTGGTTTAGTTGGTAGCTGCTCATCACTCGCCGCGGCTCGGTAAATCGGTACCAGCGTGACTGAAAAACATGCCGGCATCTAATACTTGTTTTTGCATGATCCTCGTTTTGGTATTATCAAGCCCATCCTTCCCCCCCCCCACCTCCCGAATGTTGCCCCTGTGTAATCGAGAGTTGACCGCATTTGAAATGGCACTGTTGGCTGTCAGCTGCTAACCCTTTCACAGTAAAAAAAAACTCAACCCGTTCATCAATAACGCTGCCTTGAAAAGGGAAACAAATCTATAATCGGTGACATTTTCGAACAATGGTCCTTCTTTAAAGCACGAAAATAGATGCTGGAAAGATAGCGTGGGTAAGAGTTGGAGGACCTGCACCTTTTGCGAATTAAATTTAGCGGTACAAGCCAGGCACCGCATTTCGGAGCGATAAAATTTTGATGCATTAATGTTTGTAAGTGGCAGTTGTAATTTGCCACCAATATTAGCAGTTGTGAAAAAGCTTTGCACTCATAAGGCCGTGAATGAAAAATATTAGTGTCCTTGATCCGTTTATACATTTGTTTTTCGAATGTACGATAAAATAATGGAATCCAGTACGCATTTAGTCACGCTCAAACTGATTTGGCGGGATTGAACGTTTCAAAACCGCCCGGCGCGTTCGATTGCGAGTTTGGTCGAGCGGCAAGCTGTCGTAAGGCACCAGTGGCAGGGCTCATCAGTTGCAGTGTGGTACCTTCCAACAAAGAAAAATATTCACCCTCCCCCCCCGTATAGCTTCAATAACAGGGGCAACTGCCGTTAGCAAGCACCTAATGAAGGCCTGCACGGCACACGAGGGGGTGGGTGGCCAGCACCGCGCACAACCACCTTTCTCCCCAGTGGCGACGTTTACACACCCACACCAGGTACTCGCTTGGCTGTGAGCGGGAATCAACGTTCCACACCACAGGGACGGACTTTTATTTTTATTGTTAGATATTTCATTATGTGCAGCAAAATCAATAATGTATTTTTTTATTATTATTTTTACATGCTATTGTCAAAGCAAAAAAAATTCTAACTTAATCACATTGATAAGTGCACCGATGTCCAGGATTTAATGTGCAGTGGCATGTCGAGTAATTCTGTGTTGCGCTGACGTTGCGTTTATTTAGTTTGGGGTGAGATCAGGTCTTCTTCATACGGCCCAGTTGGCTTCATGCGCCAGTTCTTCCGTCTCGCCCGTGCGCGATTTAAATGCCGTCCTAACGAAAGTTGGGGAAAATGAGAAATGACTGCGCTTAATTGAGTAAAACTGTCTCAGCTGATGAAATCCACATTTGATACTTTCTTCTTACTAATGTAAACACAGTTTGCCGTCCATTTACCTCTACTTTGCGATCTCGTGTTTCACCATCACATGTTAGTCCAATACTGCTAGGATTCATACACACATGTGTATACTAGTATCCACACTTTTTTTGTTTTTGAAAAAATTCTCCCAACATTTCAAAAGTTATTAGAATGTAGTCCAAATTGCATGCACATGTGTTGCTAGACTGAATCATAAAGGCTTTGTTGGGTGGTGTGTTATTGCAGTTAGTGTTTTGCCATAGTGTTGTGGTGAAAGTAAGCGGCCTTTATGGCAATAGGGATCATGTGAATGTGTCGTATTTAAAACGCACAACTCAAAATATTTTATTTCTCAGGTCCATAATTCCATGCACGTGTCGTGAGTGTAAACATAGTTTTTCTTATTTTTTTTATCTGTATCATTACATCCACCGTAGGTTGTGTTCATCCGATTTTCGTCAGCCTCGACATTAACTCGCTTCTCCGCAATTATTCTCAACTTTTCCACAAGAGCATTAAACAATGGACACTTACAATGAGCCTCTTGCCCGCGTGCCTCCTCTACGTACAATTAATCGCTCGATGCGAACGCACGTTCGGGATGCATCCCCCGCGACAATTAGTGTGGCTTGTTGTGACTCCCGCCGTTGTAGTGATGCCATCTAGTGACGCGCGATGCCAGATCGTGACGTGCACTGCCTGCACAATTAACCTGGCACGGCACGGTCCGCTCGCTCTGCACGTGCGCGTGTGCAGTCTTCTGTGCCAGCTCCTGGCCCGAGCACGATGCCACGTCTGTGAGCTGCGGCGGCAGTGACGACGGCAGAGGCGGCGGCGCTTCCTGCGTGGCCGAGTGCGGTTGGGACGCGTCCAGCACCGACCGCCGCTCCCAGCCGTCCACGCCGTCGCCAAAGCCGCTGGCTCTTGATGCGATCCTGCCCTTCCGTTTCGAGTCCGGGTCCTCCGAGCAGCGCGGAGATGACGACCTGACCGCCGGGCGGCAGCAGCAACCGCAGCAGCAACCGCAGCAGCAACCGCAGCGGCAGCAGCAGCCTCCGCAGCAACAGCGCCAACGCGTGAAACACGAGGCTGATATGGCTGGCAGGTGCCGTGGCCAGCCGCAGCCGCCACCGCCGCCGCCACCGTCATTTCTTGCCACATCTGGCGCGGCGGGGAAATGTGCGGCGCACGGAGCCGTGGTCGCTTCGTTCGCTCGGCCGGCGTTAAAAGCAAAGGAGCCCAAGGCCGCGTCCAAAACGTTCTTCAACGGCTCGCAGGCGCGCGGCATTAGCGGCACGCTCCCAGCACGCTTGCCTCCGTCGAGTGAGCACGCCGCACCGCCGCCGCTGCCCGCCTGCCAGGCCGACAGCACATGGGAAGCTCGGGGCGCTGGCGGTACCGCCACCGCCGGCGGTGGGGGCCAGCCCCCCCCCGTGTTCCTGTGCGGCGCTGCAAGGGGGGGCGGCGCCGACGGCGTCTCGGGCGGCGGCGCCGGCTTCCGAGTGGCGAACGTGAGGATCAGCGAGGACGGAGACATGGAGGGGGGCTCGTTTTTGGATGAGCCCTCGCCCAGGAAGAGAAAGGTACGCGAACGAGCGAAATGTCGTCCTGGTGGTCTGCTTCGCGCGAGTTGTGCACGTCAAGAGAGGTTACTGGGCGGCCAGAGCGGGGACGCGTCGCGGGCAGGGATGACGGAGGAGGCCGGTTTGTTGAGGGTTGCATTGGAGTGGCAGCCAACGGAGGGAATGCGCCAGAGTGGACGTCCCATCACGGAGGTGGACTGATTTGCGAAGTCGACTCCTGTGCAGGTGCTAAGTGAGTTGTGACATGGTATTACCGTGACAGATGGTGACGGCTTTGGGAGACCTTCGGCCAGCAGTGCATTGATCATGGCTGATGATGAGTGTTCATTTGTTGGCAGCGGTCATGAATTGTACTAGCCACCAAGGCAAGTGGTTTGGCCACTCTGTGCTGAGCAGTCTGACTTTGATGCTAGGTGTTAATTAGAGGAAATGAAAAGCCATTAATTGCACAAAACTGACCTGGTACTGTTTGCGCGTAGTCACTTTAAGATGTTTCTTGTTCATGTTTTTGTTTGTTGCGGTTGCACCCGATTCAAGAAACTGAAGCTGAAATGTTGGAGTAATTTATTTTAATAGGGCCACAGTGGTGTGTCTCGTATCCTAGAGACGCGTGGTTTCATTCCTGGTTCACGTGTTTATCGGCATCTGGGATAAGTTCCTCAATTCATCATTGTCTTTGCCCACTGCAGTACATGGCGGTGATACAGTTGATGCATTAAGGGGGTCACTGGTGGGGTGAAGTGTGGGTAACGTGCACAAAATAATGTTATACATCTGAATGGATTCTGCACAAAGAGGAATGTGATCCTCACATACCAATTCCACTTTCTCGCCACTTGTTGCATTAGACTGGACATTTGTGACAAAGAGCTTCATGCCTCATCGGATTTCTCCGGGATAAATAAAGATTCTGATTCTGTCGCAAGTTAGGGTCGCGACTCGAGATTCGCTCGCTTACTTTCACATTTAAAATGAAACGTTGGCAGCTTCTAGTGGGGTCACGCAAACCTCTTGCAACAAATCCGAAATATAAAGGCATCGATTCTTACAAATGCGACGTGCAAGTATCAGTTCTTCAGTTTCCAGTTTATTTCGCGTAGCTTAAAGACAAAGACATCATAACTGGCATTGGTCAAACGTCCGAAAGCTGATAAATTACTTGCAAGTTACTCAATTGGAATTATAAATATCAAACATCGTCCCCATCCTGTAAAAAACTTGATGAGCCTCCCTGAAAAAGCGTCTTGAAACCCAATGATGCTTTCTCCGGTAAACAAGTGTAATAATAAAACAAGTGTAATAATAAATCGTGAGCTTAAGAATTGACATCAATCCATGCGGTTCATCGGTACGGCACTGCAGCACCCATGCTGTGCAGGGCTGACCTCTTGCGTTGGTTGCATTTTCATCGCCGCTTCGTTGAACGCGTCGCATATTGCTCGTGCTGTGTTGTGTTCTTTTGCTACTGGGCGAACGCAGAACTCGTTGAAGGTGATGTTCCAGTGCATGTGGCCCAACTGCGAGAAGGTCCTGAGCACCGCGTCGGGGATGCAAAGACACATTCGCCGACTGCATCTTGGGTGAGCTGGCTGCTGCAGCAGCTGCTGCTGCCGCCGATCCAGCAAAGGCGTACTTGATTCTCGAAAGCATGGGTGACGAACGCTTTTCCTTACCGAGGGCCAACTAAGACGTCCGGATATCTTTTTTTCTTTCTTATGGCTGATGTAGACACAGAGCAACGGCTACAATTTCATATTCAGGTGGTCCAAGTCTGATAGCCGCGTCATTGAGCAGCAGAGTGTGTACCGCCGTGATGTCTCCTTCGCATTTGTGGAAGGAGACATTACAGCGATACACTCCGCTGCTGCTAACGTTCGGATATCGATGGCGTGATGCATTAACGCGTACACCTTCGCCGCTTTAGTCGCTACTGCAAGAGAGCCCCTTGTGGAGATCGGGCGATATAGTCCCGTTTGTTGCTGGGGGTGGGGGGGTTAAAATACTCCCCCTCTAGAACCGGATTAGTGCTGTTACAGTAACTTGTGGTAAAGAATACATTTGGCATCTGGTAAATTATTACCTAGGATTACCTGTCTGAGGCAGTTTGACTTGCTTGGTACTTCCTGTGTTGGGGGGGAGGGGAAACTCTTTAAATCATCTGCCATGTGTGTCGCGTTGGCACCCGGCAACGTGGTAACAAGTGTGGCAGACGCTACACCGTTCCCCAAAGTGGATTTAAAGTCCTTTTTTTCTCACATAAAGATTCCCTGTGTCTTTAAAAACTGACGCAGATTGTCTTCGTAGGTGTCTGCAAGGTGAAAGTTTGAGGTTTAATTTTCCCTCTGTGGGATGTAGACTAATAAACTACAATGGAATATAAAAAGTAAACCACGATGGTATTTAAAATGTTATAAACGATTGCATCCTCATAGAAACCCTTTGCTGGCTTGCGACGTTTCTCTTGAAGCGTTATGGAAAATGTGCAGCGCCCTCTGGTGTCTGGGTAAAGCAATTTAAAGTTGCATATCCTCTTCCTTGGGACATCCTTCAGTGAGTGCATAGGGGTGTGTGTGTGTGCGCTACTCTGCCCGATTCCATATCGGCCTATTCTAGACTAACGTTAACCAGCAGCAATTTTTCCAAAGCATAAACTCTGGACTAATTTCAACTGGTTTTTCAGATGTTACTGGCAAGAGCTGTGCATCTCCACCGCACTTACCAGCATGGTGAAGTATGCTGAAGTAACCACCTGCAAGCTGCACGGCGCGGGGAGACCGTCATCCGGCAGTAGATTGACGAAAAGGCCGTAAATTACTATTGTGGGAGTAACGGGCCACGGTGGCGGTTCAATATCTCGTCAAGATGTGAATCGGCAATGTGTGCGGGCGTGGGTCGTTGGCAAAAAGGCTGCCCACGTGTGTGGTGCAATGGGCAACACAAATGCTTTGCAAATCTCTGCCACCTCCCACCCCTCCTACCCCCAACATCCCTCGTCAGCCGCAACAGCGACTCGGACCTGAGCGACGGCGAGGAGGACTTCTACTACTCGGAGATGGAGGTGAACATGGACTCGCTGACGGACGGACTCAGCAGCCTGGCGCCCGTGTCCCCCACGGCGGTGATAGCGCCGCCCGTTTTCCCTGCGCCGTCGCCGCCGCCGCCGCCGCCGCCACTACACCCGTCGGGGGTGTGCCGCTCGCACAGTATGGCCGGCAAGAGGGAGCCGCACCCTCCCACGCAACTCAGCCGCTCGGCGCCCACCAGCTTCTGGCATCCGGTGCACACGGACCACGCCTACCAGGTAGGCGATCGCCACTGGCGGCACGCACGTGGGTGGGTGGGCGGGTGGTGGGCTTTTACCTGGTAAGATAGAAATCTTTTTTTTGTTTGATTTTAATATTTTTTTTTAAGTTATTGGTTTGCCTTTCCTATACTTTGCACTCCTGTCGTGTTTTTGTATATTGTGTTTGTTGTTGTAACTTTCAGACCCCGTGCCCCTCCTAGACATCTGTGAAGAGCTTTGTAGCTCATCGGATTCCTGTAACCATTCACCCTGCTTGTCAATTGATGCATTGAATCGGTTCTGTAATACTAATTTCCACCCTAAGTGATAGATGTGAAGTGATTTATTTTTACAATGTTGTGCTTCTTTCACACCGCACGTAGCCAGCCGTGCTCATCGGAGGTGCGAGCTATTAAGATGTGTACGGCGTATTGTACACCGTATTGAGGTGTTCGCATTTGGACACTATAAATTGGCCCTGCGATTCTATACGGGTGTAGAGTATTACTATTTTACATTGCAATGTATTGTAGAGCCTTTCGTGGCTGCAGGAGTTGCGTGAACTAATTGCGTACAACACGTAGTTATCAAAAATAATTTGTACTCACATGTGATCATTGCATTTATCGTGAGCATACGAATCAATACTAATCCATTAATGCATCATTAAACCCCTTGCCCGTAATAGTCTGCTGTTCTGCTTCAAAGTGGTTTTCTGCTCATTTCTTCTTTACTGCCCTGAGTCTGTGGAAATTCCACAGTCCTATGGCATGGCCCGAGTCTGCAGGGACAACCACGGTAGACAGGTGTAGGCAGTAGCAGTGGGTGAGACAAAATCTGTTATAATAATAAATAATATATAATGTATGGTAGAGCACAGTCCGCGGTGACACGTGAGATGCGTACGCAGGCCGAACAAAGACTGAGGCATGTGGGAAGCATCTAGAAGCATCCAGCAGCATCCCGCCTTGTGTGACACTAAGCAGAGACAGCCGTACAACCGCTTATTCCTACTCGCGCGACGTAGTTCCGTTCACTCGATCGCATTCGCGTTATAACAAAAATGTGTTCCCTAATATATTAATCGCGTTATATATCCAATTCGCGTTCTGAAAACACGCATTTTAGGAGAACGGACTGTACCTGCAAATTGCTCATTTGGGATGACACACACAGCAGTGACATTGTCCCTTCCTGATAAAACTTGGCAGGACCCTCCTTGAAACAGTCTCGAGACTCTGAGGTGTTTCCTGGGTAAACAAGCGTAAACAAAACGCAACGAATCTGGCAGTGCTAATGGTGAGTGAGTGAGGTGTGCTTGGCAACAGCGCATGCCTGCAGTGGGCAAAAGGGCGCACGTGCACTTGCGCACACACGCACTCACTCACGGCCTGTGTTGATGTTTCCCAACACCAGCCCCCAGGAATGGGCAAAATGTGGTTCTCATACAGGTATGTAACAAAAATGTGGTTTTTTTTCTAAAGATAAACATAACTGCTTTTATAAAAAAGTAAAACACTGGCTAGGGAATGCTTAACAGCGCATTTGGAGGTGTGTTAAATGAACATGTTGGCAATGATGCACTTTTTTCTGTGCCAAAACAAAAGTAGAGATTATGACTTGGCAGAATACAGTAATAGGTCACATAAGACAGAAAACAGGATCTGGCTGGCATATGCCTCGTATAAACGGATAAGTTATGTTTGTTTGGTTAACGTAGCAGCAGGACCGCACGATCGTCCATTGCTGTTTTCATCAATAGCGTGCGTTGTGTAACTTGACAAAAAAGCCCTTCTGTGCACAAACATGTCAACTACTTCCATAGCTGCCAGATGAGAAAGCACTAACCTTTTTTTATGTTTGACTTGCGGCTCGCGTAAATATTCCCTTGGTATTTATTACTCTCATACTGCCAAATCGGGGGGTGGGATAGAAGCAGCACTGCTGGGCATGGCAGCAGTTGATGCCCATGCACCGCTTCTAAATCGTTAGCCTCTTTGAATGTTTTCCTCTCTCTCTGTTACTCTTATGTTGGTTGGTTGGTTGGTTGAATGTGACTAAGCCTGCGATGAGGACGTGCACAGGCAATGTGGCATATAGAATATAATTTGTGTTCGTGTAATTCCCACACCGTATCACGCCGTTTACTGGGCATAGGCTACAGGGTAGATTTTACATGTGTTTTGTAGAGTCCATTAATTTTTTATTTGGCAACACTTAGCACTCACATTGGCCATTTAAAAACTACACTGCAAGATCTTATTAAAATAATTATATTGGTGTACGCACAAACGTCTTGTGTCTCTGCCCATATGTAAAAACTTGGCTCTGTCTCTGTAACCCATCGGAGCCCACTTAAAAATGTCCTTATGCACCTAACCTGGTACATGTAATGGTGGCAGGTGTCACCACCGTTGGGTTATGGTGTTCGCTGTACTGTGGTGCCCTAGGGCTTAATTCAGCCGGGGTCTGAAGTCTGCAGACTTGGAAACTATTTCCGTACCCAGCACACACTGCATCTAGTACCTTTCACTATGACTGTGGATAACTCGTAACGTGCTTGCTCCAGTCTACCAGCAAGTAGCGTGGATTGTGCCCGTACTTCGTCCGCTTGTTTCCATGCAAGCTGCACGTGTGCAGCCCGCATACCGTGTCAACCCACACGGTTGACCCGTATTCTTGTACAGGTCCATACGGCGTACAGCCGTTTCACTACGGGCGAAAAAAAACCGTCTATTTTTTTGTGTTTCTCCCTTGTGATGGGACTTTGTAGGATGAATGTTGAGATTTATAAGGGACATGGGGTGACCAATAAGGTCTGAATTGGTCTGTAATAAGGTAGGGCACTGATAAGGGGTTGACAGGTACAGTGAGGGGAAAAAAGTATTTGATCCCCTGCTGATTTTGTACGTTTGCCCACTGACAAAGAAATGATCAGTCTATAATTTTAATGGTAGTATTATTTGAACAGTGAGAGACAGAATAACAAAAAAAATTCCAGAAAAACGCATGTCAAAAATGTTATAAATTGATTTGCATTTTAATGAGGGAAATAAGTATTTGACCCCTCTGCAAAACATGACTTAGTACTTGGTGGCAAAACCCTTGTTGGCAATCACAGAGGTCAGACGTTTCTGGTAGTTGGCCACCAGGTTTGCACACATCTCAGGAGGGATTTTGTCCCCCTCCTCTTTGCAGATCTTCTCCAAGTCATTAAGGTTTCGAGGCTGACGTTTGGCAACTCGAACCTTCAGCTCCCTCCACAGATTTTCTATGGGATTAAGGTCTGGAGGCTGGCTAGGCCACTCCAGGACCTTAATGTGCTTCTTCTTGAGCCACTCCATTGTTGCCTTGGCTGTGTGTTTTGGGTCATTGTCATGCTGGAATACCCATCCACGACCCATTTTCAGCCCTGGCTGAGGGAAGGAGGTTCTCACCCAAGATTTGACGATACATGGCCCCGTCCATCGTCCCTTTGATGCGGTGAAGTTGTTCTGTCCCCTTAGCAGAAAAACACCCCCAAAGCATAATGTTTCCACCTCCATGTTTGACGGTGGGGATAGTGTTCTTGGGGTCATAGGCAGCATTCCTCCTCCAAACACGGCGAGTTGAGTTGATGCCAAAGAGCTCCATTTTGGTCTCATCTGACCACAACACTTTCACCCAGTTGTCCTCTGAATCATTCAGATGATCAAAGCGCAAACTTCAGACGGGCATGTATATGTGCTTTCTTGAGCAGGGGGACCTTGCGGGCACTTCACGATTTCAGTCCTTCACGGCGTAGTGTGTTACCAATTGTTTTCTTGGTGACTATGGTCCCAGCTGCCTTGAGATCATTGACAAGATCCTCCCGTGTAGTTCTGGGCTGATTCCTCACCGTTCTCATGATCATTGCAACTCCACGAGGTGAGATCTTGCATGGAGCCCCAGGCCGAGGGAGGTTGACAGTTCTTTGTGTTTCTTCCATTTGCGAATAATCGCACCAACTGTTGTCACCTTCTCACCAAGCTGCTTGGCAATGGTCTTGTAGCCCACTCCAGCCTTGTGTAGGTCTACAATCTTGTCACTGACATCCTTGGAGAGCTCTTTGGTCTTGGCCATAATGGAGAGTTTGGAATGTTGATTGATTGCTTCTGTGGACAGGTGTCTTTTATACAGGTAACGAGCTAAGATTAGGAGCACACTCTTAAAGAGTGCTCCTAATCTAGCTTGTTACCTGTATAAAAGACACCTGGGAGCCAGAAATCTTTCTAATTGAGAGGGGGTCAAATACTTATTTCCCTCATTAAAATGCAAATCAATTTATAAAATTTTTGTCATGCGTTTTTCTGGATTTTTTTGTTATTCTCTCTCACTGTTCAAATAAACCTACCATTAAAATTATAGACTGATCATTTCTTTGTCAGTGGGCAAACGTACAAAATCAGCAGTGGATCATATACTTTTTTTCCTCACTGTATGAGCTTGTATGAAAACATTGTTTGGGTATCGCCAGCAAAATTGAGTTTCCCAGGACTTGTACACACTCACATTAACATTGTTCCCACATTCATGGCAGCGAGCTTAAAAAAAAAAATATCAGTTTTTCCAATTTGTTTTAAAAATCCCTTAATATTGTCAGCAATATTTAGTTTTTTGAATGCCAAATTAATCGCACGCCTAACGTTGCCTCGATGGTGCCTGGTTAGCTGTCCGCGGCACGCGAGAACGGCACGTGCGCTCGGTGGCCTGTGTTGCACCGCGGTCGGTGACGCGGCGCATTATGCACCGCGGTCGGTGACGTGGCGCATTATGTCCTTCACGGCGTAGTGTGTTACCAATTGTGCGTCGCGTCCCCCACATTGCTCTCGTGTCAAATCGTAACTTGGGCACTGCCTCCACCCCCAGCTGATGCTGCTACTGCTGCTGCTGTTGTTGTTGTTTTCCCACGGGGGCGTGCGATCTGCAGACGCCTGCTGCCCTCTCCTGGCTTCTAGTTGCCGTGGAGACTTGGGCAAGAAATTGTGTAGAATGTAATTGAGTTCATATTCTTGGTTCTTTCGGTAAAGTGACGTAGAAAGAACCAAGAATATGAATCCCTGCAGTAACGGAAGCTTTAAATTAAAAAAATGTAATTGAGTTGTTGTTGAAATCCTGGTTGCGTAGTTCGCTTGGGGCATCATTCCCTTCAGGGTTAATAAAATGAGGACAGCTTCACAAGTGGTGCGGGGGGGGAGTGGAGCGGTTGTGTATGGATGGACTTGGTCCTGTCATACGGATGTGGAACTTTCACCACAGTCTCAGGGCTGTAATGAGAAAATGGGCACCACCTCAAGTCTCATTTAAACAGTAAATTTTGACTTGCTTGTTTTTGTCAAATCGGGCTATCAAGCACCATTCGTTCAGCCGTTGGTCGCATAAATGAACACTCCCGTATGTTCAGATAACTGCTGCTGGGATCAGAGCTTGTATTTGCATGTTTAATGCGAGTGTGTGTTTTTTTATTGTATCAAGTGGTCTGCATGTGTGCATGATACACCTTTGTGATTTTTTTCTTGTATGTAGATCAGGGGTAGGTAACTATCCTTACTGAGGGCCAAATAGGACGTTCAAGTACCCTTTGAAACAATCACACATGAACACCACACTCTGGCGTTATTAACGCAAACTGTAATGTGTGTGTCCACCAAGTCTGGAAGAGAGACCCTTGCAGCAAGAGGAGTGAACTGCGACCGCTCAGGAACTAACTGAAAAGACAAAATAGATTTTAGTTGTGTACTTGCGTTTAAATCGGTGATCACTTTCACGAGTGGTCACCGACACACTCCGCCATTCCGGTTTCCAGCACTCCCAAACCTTTTTGTCAGCACAATGAAGTAATAGCTTGTGGGTTAGGTTTTTTTTTAGCGATGCGGCCCTTTATATTCGAGCAGGTGGTTTGTAAACACGTTGGGAAGCTAGCCCATAGCGTTTCTTTACAGTTAGCAGGCGTGTTTGCTTAGCGATTTTTTTAAAAATTTATTTTATATCTGTGACCACTATAAATAATCGTAAAAAAAAACGTTTTGCGCCAGTTTGAAAATATTCCCCCTGCTAAATAGTCCATTAGTGTGCTGTGTGTTTTTAAAATGATGCTTCACACTGACGGGTAAACATCACGGCCCACCTCGTGTGGCCACGAGCCGTATGAAATCGAGTTGCGGGGGTCGTGTTTGGCCCACGTGCCGTCCTGTAATCCACCGATGCTGTTTTCTTTTTACCAGAGCCCAGTAGTAGGTGTTGACTTGAACGTTGCCCGACTATAGCTGCCGTTTTAGCCGTTGATGATGGAGGCGGGGGTGGGGGGGGGGTCCCCAGGGTAGGAGGGTGGGGTGGTCCCTGGCACTGGGGCCCATGCAACCTCTCGACCCCGCTGTTGTGTCCCTCAATATTTACTGAAGTAAATAGTTGAGATTTCTGCTGCTGCTGCTGCTGCCACGTTCCGCTCACTGCCGTTCCCGCTGCGTCCCCCCCCACCTCCCCCCCACTGTTCGTGCCATCCTAGGCTTGCGGGCCACTCCTTGACACCATGTCTCCGCCAGGCGCCGGTACCACATTTGGAACGTTGAGGCTGCAGCTGGAAGGTGCCACGGCTGCGTGCGACGCGTCGGTGAGCTCTCCTCGTCGCAGCTTCTCAAGCCATTGCGGCGTGCAGCCATACTCGCCCAGCAGTGGAACGGCGCAACGACTGATGGATGATTGATTTTCCTGACGGCGATTAGTTACGGCCGCGGAAAAGTCTCGGGGAATTTTTTTGAACCATATACGCGCAGGAGCTCGGGTTACCGCATGCTGCGCTGTGCTGTACATCCAAACTTAATTGCCAAGAAATAGGAGCGAGTGCTTTACACGCGTCCAGCTCTGATGCCACCGCTGCTTGGAAAAGTGGCAGAATAACTCGGTGTGGCCTATGACCCAATCGCCCGGAATTCGCCCAATCAAAATACAGTAAAACCCTTGTTAATTCGACACATATGGGCCTCTGGCCTTGCCGAATTATCCCATATTCTGAGTTATGTACAATGGTACCTTCCAGTGCGTTCTGCACCAATACATTTTTTAAAATATATATTTTCCCCAAAATCTTCACACACCGTACGCATTGCACACAACCTGCATCAATTCTATCCAAAACTTTGGATTTGTCTCGCAGACTAAGGGGTTTTATACTTCAGTCCCTTTCTTTTGCTTCTTGATTCCTGAGAGGGGGGGGGGGTGGCTTGCACAGAGTGCATCGACAGGGTAAAGTCCAAAGCGACAGGTCTGCACTGACGCTCACCACGTGCGCTGCTACTAGACTGAGTCGTTGTTTTTGCTCGTGGCGTGCGGCGTCGCTCCACCACGTGGTCTGCCGAAATTGGACCATTCCGCACGGCAATTCTTCTCATGGCGAATTACTAACACACCGTATATACGCCGAAAGAGCAGCCGCGCCGAATTATCCCCAATTTACGAATGATCAAATACGGAAATAACAAGGTTTTACTGTATCTCAGAAGCTATGTAGGATATTGAGCCGTGTGTGTGTGCTTGGGATGGGACACCACCTGGCAAATACCAAGTCTAGGAGGCTCGGGGTGCGAGGTGACGACAGGTCCAGCAATGGAGTCTTGCACATCACTGTGCAGAGTTTTGAGCATTACCCTGCTTTTATATCCGTGGCTTTTCTGCAGCTACTCTGCTATCCTCCCAAGTTTCCGTCGATCGGTATTTAATTTTAAAAGGCACAATTTGCAAGATGATCAAAGCGCCATGAGAACTGCTCTTTACAATCCACACGCGTGTCGCAGATTCTCCATTTACACCGCGTGGCCCAACATGTCGAACGCTGCGGAGAGATCCCGGAGAACCGAGATTCGTGTGTGTGTGTGTGTGGAACTTCTTTTGCACCGTACGTAGCCAACCGTGCCAATCGGAGATGCGAGATGATAGGAACATCTCTTCCGATCTCTCGCGACCAGGAGATCGTTCCTAACCCGCGCCAGAGCTGTCTTGATATGATACCTCTAATGAAAATCTGATTGGAGAAGATTTTTGTTCCTCCTATCCCCCCCCGCCCCTTCCCCTCCGCCTCAACAAGGCCCCCTTAGGGAGCCGCATCAACCCAGAGAGCACGAGCTGCAGATCCCCCCCCCGCCCCCGTCCTTTTCACCGCGTATATGCATTGTCTGTCGTGATTTGTTGCGCTGGGTTGTTGTAAGTATCGTGATTGATGTGATCCTCCATTTGTAGTGCAACCACTTTCTCATTAACCTTTACCTGCAAAGGAGAGGCTCGTCAGGTCTAGTTGGCAGGAAGGACCTCGACAAAAGTAAGTCCCTAAATCTTTTCCCGTTCCGAGACGGTCTGCAAGGTGCAGAGTGGGGGTCCCGTTCACCGCTGAATCTCGGATCGCGCAAGCGATTCGGCGTGAATTTTATTTCGAGAGGCAGACGAGCGTTGCTTTTTTAAAAGACATTGGACTGTACGTACCGCAGAGAACCGTAGCGACTCGACCCACACTCTACGATAGCGGGCGCCAAACTGCGACACGCCCTCCCGCATGGTCTCTTGCTTCCCATTCCATTCTGAATCGAATCGTTGACAATTATACATTATTATCAATATTATTTCCTTATGTTTCCATGCACGTTTAGTTTGTAGTGTACGGACACACACTACTTGCACAGCTCTGCAGTGTTCAAGATGTTAAATACCTCCCCTTGTATACAGTAGTTCATGGGATCGATCACGACCCTGATCATGTCTGTATATTTGGAGTTTGCGTGTTCTCCCCGTGGTCACGTAAAACATTTTCAGGGTCCTCCGGTTTTTCCCTCCACTTTTAGAATCAACGTGCGTTTAGAGTATTTGGCTGCTCCGCACCTCCGATTAGCACGATTGGCTACGTACGGTGGGAAGAAGCTCAGCATACATGCTATAAATTTCCACGTGATAAGCCACTTCGTTGGGCTATCATTTGTGATAGCCAGGTCGCTTCTGAAAAATCGCTATATAGCTCGGTGTGCCTTACCTGGAAAAATAAAAACTTTAATTTGCGTACAACAATAATCCCGAGTTCCATTCCAAGAAACGGCTCGCATCGGTGAAAATTTTTTTATCTGAACTGGTACCTGGTTATTCCCCCTTCACCTACCCACTCTGTCGATCCTGGTTCATCGTAAGGACGGTATTCATATCATTCTTATTTCACGAGGCTAGGGCAAAGGTGTTTTGTTTTGCAGTCGAAGTCTGCATTGGCGGAAGCGCATATATGGCCAGACAACCCTCATGACCATTGTCCTAATCGAGCAGCGGTGACGGGCAGGAGTGCTGTAATATAGAATCGGATAATATTTATTTATCCCGGAGGAATCCGATGAGCTATAAAGCTCTGTTTTTTCGTATGTCCATTAGCGGCACGGGGGGGGGGGGTCAGAGCTTTACTCCAACAAACAATACAACAAAAAAACACGAGAGTGCAACGTGTAGGAAATCTAAGCAAATCACACACTAAAAATGCAAATAAAACTAAGCAATTTTTTTTTTTTTAAACCACGTGTAAAGTTCCACTGAGCTGTTAGATTGATTATTTGTCAGAAGCGACCTGGCCACAAATGACAGCTCAGCGAAGCGGCTTATCGTGTGGACAAGGGCGGGGGGGCTGCGTTTGCGATGTTGAACGTCGTTTTGTTTGCGTCGGTTCCCCCTCCCCCACCCCGTGCGCGTTGCCTCTGCAGGGGTTCCCGATGCGCGTACGCACGCTCAGCAGCTCGGAGCACCGGCCCCCCGGCACCCCTGGCGCTGCCGCCTGCCGTCTACACGCGTCGCTCTCGCCGTCGCCCAAGTCGCTCGCCCCCGGCCGGTCGGTCAGAGCTCGCGGGGCCGTCTCTTTGTGTGGGGGCCCCCCTCCCCTCTCTCCCTGCCGCCCCCCGCCCCGCCCCTCGCCCGCAAAGCACGTGCACTCGTGGTGGAAACGTCGCGTCACCGCATCGAACTCAATTCTAGATTTAAAGCTTTCGTGACTGCAAGGATCCATACGCTTTGGTTCTATTCGGTAAAGTCACGTAGGTAAAAAATAAAACAAAAATCACGACGTTTCGGCCACAACACAAGCGGCCTTCATCAGGTGAAGGGATCAGGCTGTCTCGAGGACAGCGCTGGAGTGAAACACAGCCACGCTCAGACCGCGACCTTTAAGCTGTGTGCGAGGAAACAAGGTGCCTTGACAAAAGAATTAGCATAAAAATTAGCATTTGATTGGCCGACTTATCATAGAGGTGGTGTACGTGCGGGGGACTTGCCGTTTGGCGCGGGGGGGGGGGAGGGGGAGTTTACCTATTGATGGTGTGAAAAGGGAATTTTTAAGAGCTGCGAAAGTTTGGAGTTGTACCTGCGGTGATTGCTATATCGGGGAGACAAAGCGACATGTCTCTGACCGAATTCGCGAGCACAAATCAGATTTGAAACACGGCAAAACGAATTCTTCTGCCGTGGCTGATCACTGTGACAACGCTGTAGGTGATCACGATATAATTTTCTCCGATACCAAGGTTCTTTGCAAACCCACGGGTTTTTATCAGAGATTTGTTCACGAGGCAATTCAGATCTACAAACACAGACACAATTTCAACCGAGAAGATGGTTTCAAATTAAGCAACCATTGGAAAGATGTTCTAAATCGAACTAAACATTAAACTAATTTTCAATGGTACAGTATATTTTTCAAGTAGTGGTACCCCAAACTTTCGCAGCTCTTTAAAATTCCCTTTTCACACCATCAATAGGTAAACTCCCCCTCCCCCCCCCCGCGCCAAACAGCAAGTCCACCCGCACGTACACCACCTCTATGATAAGTCGGCCAATCAAATGCTAATTTTTATGCTAATTCATTTGTCAAGGCACCTTGTTTCCTCGCACACAGCTTATAGGTCGCGGTCTGAGCGTGGCTGTGTTTCACTCCAGCGCTGTCCTCGAGACAGCCTGATCCCTTCACCTGATGAAGGCCGCTTGTGTTGTGGCCGAAACGTCGTGATTTTTGTTGTTTTATTTTTTACCTACGTGACTTTACCGAATAGAACCAAAGAGTACGCATCGAACTCGTTCAATTTTTTGATGTCGCTTCCTATAGGGTCGCGATGCACGTTGCGTATTGAGCGTCGTGTAAGAGAATCGATAAATTTTTCGAGGAGCGTAGCTTCGTATGACCCTGGGTAGCACGCCGCACAGAGTGTTTGGCCTCTATAAACTTCCACGTGATATGTCACTTCGTTGAGCTTTCATTTGTGGGCAGCTTGCTTCTGAAAAAGAGCTGTATAGCTCAGTGGGCCTTACCTAGTAGAATCAAAAGTTTAGTTTTAGTATAGATGAACTGGTTACCTGATTAGTCCCCCTTCACCTTCCCACGTTGACCATCCTGGTAGGTGCCAGTTTTTCGAAAGGATGGCATTCGCACCATTCTTATGGCTATGGCACAGGTGTTGTGTTTCACAGTCGAAGCCTGCGGTGGTTTCGCAGCAGGGGGCAATGTTCCTTGCTGTGTGGAATCCCAATTGAGGCTATTGGCAGGTAGTTTTTCATTTTGGCAAATTTGAACCATGACGCTAGGCACACAACGGCCTACTCCCCTTGTTTTTTTTTAATGGCGTCGGGGTATCATTAATGTCCGCCGAGTCACACGGCGCGTAGTATTATTATTATTTATTGCGCCCACACCTCTACGACAAGCGGTGAACGCTAGCTACCGCTGGGCCACGTCACCGCCCGAATTGTGAGAGTTAACTGTGAAAGCCTTATTCAGCCTTCGGTGAGTAAGGAAAAGATTTCCCTGACTCCTGATTTAGAGAGAGCACAGCGATCTCACAGCACAGGGCTCTAACACGCTCTGTTGAGACTTGGGCTCAATCACAATTTGTCACCCGTAACGAATTTCAAGCGCAATGTAATTATATGTTTCGGCTAACGTCGCTGTGGTAACTACCGCTCGGGTCTAAAGTATGTATCTATGTAGAACTCCTTTCGCACCGTATGTATCAAAGTGTGCTAATCGGAGGTGCGGGGGAAGGACACCAAACCAAACGCAAAAAGCAGTTTTAAAAGAAATTAGTTTTCCATCTAAATGATTTAAAGATGCATAGCTCCAGTTGGCTTTCTAATATGGGCAGGAAGATCGTTCCAGACGGCCGCAGAAGCGCGCCGGAAAGCGCGTGACGCGGGGTGACTGCGTTGGTCCGACGGCCGGCCAAAAGTCCGACGCTGACGTATTCCCCCTCGCTTTTTTCGTTGCAGGAAAAGCCGCGGGGAGGCCAAGAAGTGCCGCAAGGTGTACGGCATGGAGAACAAGGACATGTGGTGCACCGCGTGTCGCTGGAAGAAAGCCTGCCAGCGGTTCAATGACTGAGCTCCGAAAGCCCTCTTCCTTCCAACACTTTGGCACCCACCATCCCCTACGCCCCCACCCACCCACATACTCCAGGCGTTCGGCTCGGTGTGTTTCGATCGGTCGCAGGTTTACCGAGACTCTCGTTTTTGCCCTGGCATTATTACGATCGTCCCTCGTTGGTCTGCGTCCACCCTTTTGCACTATGGATGCTTGAGGTGAGGTGGGAGAATGAAACTTAAAAAAACAATGCTGGCGACACTTTTCTGTGGGAGAGCTCGGGGGCGCGCGCGCGCTGTGGTTATTGTTTTTGTAATTCACGGAATCGGACGGCGGGTTTGTACTGGAACGACGCGACTCGCTCCCGACACAGTCGTCACTCGAAACCTCCAGCAAAAAGTACACAACGTAAATTTCTGCCCCTTTTTAAATTTCCTTCGAAAGTGGTCAACGTGGCTGCTCAAGCTTGGCACGCGACCGCCACCGGAAATTCTCAGCCCCGTTTGCCGAGGACGATAGCCTACAGTTCCCCCCGCCTCCCCTCTCGCTCCATCTTCCTTGTGAGCCTCTGCGGCCGAGGCTCGCGTTGGGTTTGCCATGCCGGTAGTTTTACGAGGAGAGAGAAACGTTATTCTCCATTGCCTGTTCCCTTGGCGCCAACCCTGCACGTCTTCGCTGTGCAAAAGAATATACGCGAGCCCGTGCCCTTGTTGGGCACCTGAATGTACGCTTGCGACAAAAGTCGAAGGGCGCGCAGCGGAGTGGAATCCAGGAACCCCCGGGTAGGGCTTTTGAAGAATCGTTAACTTTCTCAAGTTTTAATTGCGTGTGGATTATTATTTTTCTTCCCATTCCTTGCGTCTCCAGCAGAGGCGCTGGGTAACGAATCGTCGTGTGTCTTGCCGCACAGAAGCGTTCGTGCGCCACGGACAAAACCCTCGGTCCGATTTTCTGGGCAGCCCGTGTCACGCATCCCTTTTTGGCGCGCATTGGCAAGATCTTGGTGCTTACATCGGTCACGCTTTTTTTTTTTTGCTTGCCCAAATTGGCCCTTTGGAGACGGCAGGGATATCGTGAAGTCAAAGCGAGGTCAACTTGCACGGGGGTTATTATTTTTTTGTCGCTGCAGCTGGCTTTGTTTGTGGGCCGCTTCCACGGGGCTCTCCGGGAAGAGACGACTCCGCCGGACTCGTCTGCCTTCGGGGTTCGTGTGCACGGCTTTCGTTCGGCGCACGTCGTTCTCGACGTGCGGCGAAGCGCGTCGCGTTGCCGCCGCCGCCGCCGCCGCCGCCGCCGCCGGCTGCCTGTCAGGTCCGATGGAAGTCGGCGAGGAAGAGAAAAAAAATATGCAAACGTTGTACAAGCGCTTAACGCGGCACCTCGCATTCGTTTGGCAGCGCGTGCCCGTAATTGTATTTTCAATGCCAGGACCTCTTACAGAGCAGGAATGTTAAAACGGTGATACAGAATGAATGTAATCGTGACGATGGATGGGTGGTAGCGTGCCCCCACCACCACCAACCCGTGCCCCTGCTGCTGCTCCCCTTTCCCTCCCTGGAGCAACTTATCCCTGACGTCGGCATCCCGAGGTTGGGGCGAGCGGGGACCCCTCGGCCCACGCGCAAGCGCCCAGCCGTCGGCTGCTTTGTGTAGATCGTCGGCCACGTTAAAGAAACATTTCATCCTTTTTGCCTTTTTTCTTTCCTGTGACCAAAAAAGCCATGGTCTCTCATTTTGTAAGAAAATGTACAACCACGACTCTTTAAAACAAAAACAAGACCTCATTTAGAGCATTTGTTCACGAAGGAACATTTCTAACAACTTCTCAAAAACGTGTGATGATTATTGTTAATTTTTCTCTCTACCACCGCCGTCAACGCGTTTTAGTTACCTGCAGCTTTCTCTCGGTAACCCTCTGCAATGTCCTTGGCGTAGCCGTTGGCGGCGATAATTTGAGACTCGGACACAGCGCTCTTCCCCTGCCCGTCGGCTTGTATAACAACGCAACGGCTACGCATTCAACAAAACAAAGACGAATGCTTTAAACTGTAGAACAAGCGGCGCCCTTTCTGTAACAAGAGCCCGTGCGCGTGCGTGTGCATTTCAATGGGAAGATTCTCGTCAATGCGGGTGAAAATAGCAGGTCCGTGATGGTAAATGTTTAAAGCTGGTGCACACGCGTAACTGTTGATATTCTCTTTTGTAATATTTGGCAGGGGTTTAAAGAGGATTTTTCTACACTTGGATCTGCAACGGAAGAGCACAGACTTGTGTGACCGCGCATCGAATAGCCGGCTGCACAATGGGCTGTAAAGAATGTAGGGGGTTTGTATGCGAGGCTGTGAATTTATTTGTTTGCGTCAGTTTGGCAAGCCACGTTCACCGTTTGCCGGCGGCTCGTTTCCACTATCGCCGCCTCGTGCGACGGCAGTGTCCAAAATGTGTTTTTGTACGGAGTGGCGTAAAAAATATATCTGGGGTGTAATGATTCGTCAACACAGCTCTTATAAAAGTTATTGCACATTTGTGTGTATTGAAGCGTAAGGATGTATTAGCAACAGCAGCAACGGTCGTAGTAGTAGTGGTGAATAGTAATTGAATAGTATTAATAGATACAATATATACGTAAGATTAACTTCTTTAAGCAGCATTTTTGAGAAGAGGCCAAGAACTGTGTCCACCGTCGATGGTTTGGGTAATGACTGGTGTAACGATGTGCCTGCACTTGTAGTCTCGGGACGCCGTCTCTGCCGCTGCCGAGGGGTGTCTACGGCCATGGGCTAGCAGTGTGGTCTGCATGGTGCGAGGTGGAGGGAGCCGGGCGTTTGGCTGATGTCAAGGTGCATAGCATTGGATGCCTAGTTTCAACGATGTCTTCCCCCCCCCCCCCTAACCTCCGATTGCAATGCCGCATTGGCCACACGTGGGGTCCTGAACTGCCGGGAACGGCACCGCGTTTAAGTGTTTAAAGTGGTGTCCGAAACCATCAAGCCACCGCCGTTTCAAAAGTTCTCCCTACTGTCGTTTGAACGGCTTGTCCCCCCTCTCCCTCCCCCACTTCTTCCCACCCTTAACCATTATTAGATACGCAACGGTACAGCTATCGGGAGTGAAAGTGGCGTCCGACACTAAGCACTTATGTAACAGAACCTAACTGTGGATGTATATAGGAGAGGCGGTGTGTGTGTGTGTGTGCCTGTTTGCGTGTGTGAGTGTGCGTGCGTGTCGTGGTGCTGGCCACCCATCCCTCTCGTGTGCCGTGCCGGCCTTCATGGGTGCTCGCTTAACAGCACTTACAAACCCCGAGAGTCTGTTAAGGCTCATCCGGGTCCCGTAGAGGGGGGTGCGAGCCACTCCGGGTTTGGTGGTGATGGATCCCCCCTTTTTGCCAGCCCACACACGGGGGGGTGGGACTGTGCCTTAACGTGTCTGTGCATCACCAGCACAACCTTTCGAAGACCAAATTGCCAAAACCTGCTCAAAGTTGATACACAGTTGTTTATCTTTCTCCTTGCTAGATCTGGATAAGCTATAGATTTGTAAACAAACAAAAAAATATATATAAAAAGACGAGTCCAGTACCATCGTTTTTACTTTGTAGTATTTTTTTTTTCACAGTCCGTCCGTATGCACCCACCCCGAGGACTACTTCAGACGGTGGTGGTTGTGGCGGGTTCTCATTGTGTTCACCGTGTCTTTAGATTTTGCCTAGTTTGTGTGTGTGTGTGTGTGCGCGTTGAGTATTTAGGCCACGATGCAGTCGGGCAAATTGTAGGGAGCGGTGGCGTTTGTGGTTAGCGCGCTGCGCTATGAACCGAGTTCGATTCCCGCTTACGGCCAACACCGGTGAACCGGTCATGGGGCTACCCCTCGGTCCACTCGGCCTCAAATGAGTACCTGGTGCGATTGCGCAAACATCATCAGTGGGGAGACAAAGGCGGGCGGGCGTGGTGTTGGCCACCCCTTCGTGTGCCGTGCCAGCCTTCGTAGGCGCTCGCCAACAACACTTGCCTCAACGGTTTGTTAAGGCTTCATGGAGGAGGGGGGTCTTTGTCTTTGATGGGTATTTAGGGCCACGATGAAAGTCGCGGCGAGCATTGCTCTCATTCATCTCCGACTGAGGTGGCTTCATTTCCTATGATTGTGTGTTAAGCAAAATAAAGCATGCGGTGCAGTCAGTCGTTGCCAAAATCTTAACGAAATGATGAATTTTGCTGCCAACTCCTAAGTGGGCAACTGAGATGGCATCTGCCGGTCAAGTGACGGAGGTCAAGACTGCGCCGAGGTTCGCGTGCTCAGCTAAGACCCATTCGAAGACCCATTCGATGAAATGAATATTTCGAGAAATGGTTTTTAATTGACGAGACAGCTGCGCTGCTCGCTGGCCACTTCTGTGCAAAGTTGCCACGGTTCGCTTGTGCACGCACGTTCAAGTCTCGAATCCGGACGAAACGATCGTGCCCCGTGCTCCCTCCTGGTGGCCATCACCAATGACGGCTTCTGTCATCCGATCACGGAGGGAGGATAACGTGAATAGCCGACGGCGGTGCGCCCTGTAGACCCGACTGGGCGACCGATCGACCTTCCATTGAGATGTGTTGCCAACTCACGCACGTGAGTTTAGTCGCCAGCCACCACTTGATCGCTCTCAATTCCACTTCGATACCCATTTGCCGCAGTGGCTCGTGTCGTCGATGCTGCTGGCGACTTTCCCCCCCCCCCTACAATTTTGCCCTCGTGTATCTTGGCATTTAACTTTCCGATGCTTGGCAGGACGTGTGGCGTTTACGAGTGTATGTGTGTGCGCGTGGGGGTGGGGGTGGGCGGTGTAGTGGGGAGCGGTGGTGTAGCTGTCAGTGCGCTGCGCTACGAACCCGGCAACCCGGGTTCGATTCCCGCTCACGGCCAACACCGGTGACGATTATCTTAACCGGTCCTGGGCCTCAAATGAGTACCCGGTGCGATGCGTACACGTCGGCACTGGGGAGACAAAGACGGCCGGGGGTGATGCGGGCCACACCCACCCCTTCGTGTGCAGTGCCGGCCTTCATAGGTGCTCGCTAACAGCACTTGCCCAAACGGCCCGTTTAGGGTATCCGGGGGATCTTTGTGGGGATCTCTGTCTTTGTGTGTGGGGGGGTGGGGGGAGTGTGGGCCATGTAGTCGCAGGCGCGTGCAGTGTTGTATTGCCGGTCGTGTGCGGGGTGAGCTGTCTCGAAGCCAAAAAGAAATAACCCAAAATGCTGCTATTGCGACAACACTGCTAGCATTCCTTTTCCACGTGTCATGCAAAAACCATATTACGTCTCGGTGGACGGCAGTATTACTGATATATTTTTACTGTACACGGTGGAATTTCGTTTTTGTTAAGTTATAAAACAAATTAGAACTTTAGTTGAAAACGATATAAGTTTTGGATACAATTTTTTTCGCTAAAGGAATTGTTCAACAGTGGATATATATACCATCTTGTAACGTTGTTTTGTTTGTTGTTTCATGCAAGTGGATTGTAACTAATGTGGCCGTGTTCATATGTCGGTGATGGAGGCGGGTGTAGTGGTGTGGGTGGGTGGGTGGCCCAGCCAGTGACACTGGCGCGCAATGTGACCCCGCTCGACCGATAAGCTTTGCGCCAACATCCCACGCTCTCTTATGTTCCTTTCTACAAGGCGGTATTGGTTGGAGCCGGGTTGCCACTGCGTTCACCACCCACCGCCTCCTCTCCGCAAATTATTTAAATCGAGGCATCGTGCTCCCTCGCCCACACCTGGTGGAGAGCGAGGACGCACGCAGAGCAGCGTGGAACGTACCTATCTCTTTTATTGCGTGGAGGGGTTGAAGTGTGAGATTGCGCAAGGATTCATTGGATGGAGAGAGGGAATGTATCTGAATGTAGCCCCCCCCCCACACAGCCCCCAATCGAATGTGGGATTAAAGTCTTCTTTAATTGACTCCTTTCGTGTATGGTTAACACTGTGAATGCAAGTCCAACAAAGTGAAGCCGAAAATAGTTTCTATAATAATACTACGAAAAAAATATATTAAAAAAATGTCGCTTGGATTGTGATCTGCGCGCCCATTACTCTATGCGCCTCTTTGTAAATCTCTACACTGACGTTTTCTACTGTAACTTTTTTTTGTACATACAGAAGTTTGACGCGAGGACAAAAAACGGACGGCACTTTGTGAATGACCCCTTTGTTTGTGAACGGCGCGCTCTGGGTGCAGACATTGGGGTGGCCTTTTATTGTGTGGCTGGTGGTATGGGACGTGGCCAGCGTGTGTGGAATGCCCCCTGTTTGTGGACGGCTTTGCTCCGTTTTGACTGTTCATTCGTTCATTATTTTATGTCCGACGTCTGAATTTACTGTGTAAACCTGCCCGCTTAATCCAAATAAAGGCAAATGCTTCGATTATCCACCGGTTCTGTGTGTTTATTTTTCTGCGTCAACAATTGTACGTGGAAGAGGTCGGAACGCTATTCCTTCCGTCATTCGGAAGCCACTGGAGCTACGGGACTGTCAAAATCTAAATTGAAAACCCCATTTCTTTAGAACTGCTTTTTGCGTGTGTTTAGTTTGTCGTCCTTACCCCGCACCTCCGATTCGCACGGTTGGCTACGTACGGTGCGAAAGAAGTTCAACGTACAGGTGGGCAAGCTTGGAGGCGCACGCTTCATCTCGCACTGGAGGCAATGAGGTGGTTTTGGTGGATCGTACAAAAGTTGCGAAACATCCATTCCCGTGGGAGTCGAGGAGGTGCCATACACCTGTCTTACCAGGAGAAGGCGATACAGCAAAAATGTAGACCGCTCCCAACATTTTTGCTGTACCGCAAAAAAAATTTGTTTAAAGCTTTCGTGACTGCAGGGATTCATATTGTTGGTTCTTTCGGTAAAGTCACGTATAAGGGAAGCAATAAAATAAAAAATATAAAACAATTATCATTTTATTGTTTCCTTTCTACGTGACTTTACCAAAAGAACCAAGAATATCACTCCCAATATGTATGAACATTGAATTGGGCGGTATACCACCTTGAATGTAATAAAGGACCGCAGAGCTTGGAGGGGGAGGGGTTAATTTGACACCGGCTCACCGCGTGGCTGCAGTCTCCGCTTGATTTGTGGTTTCCCCCCCCCCCCCCCCCCCCCGAGTCGTTATCGTGCAGAATGAGCGAATTCGGTGCGGTGCGTCGCAAGGTGGAGTTGTTATTATCGCGTAACAAGGTGGCATGGAGATCCCGGCAACCTTAATTATGTCGGCCCGTCATCGGTCACCAACATGGTACGGGTGAATATTTAGCATTGTCAAGCCATCTGGTGTAATCCTCCTTGTTCGTCTCTGATATGAAAGTGAGCAAATACAAATTGCCAAATGTACAAATTGGCAAGTTCTGTTTACGTGACGACGCTTACTAGTTGGCTGTGTCGGGTGGTGGCGGGTTTTAACGACACATTTACGCGATTATAAATGTACACTTGTGCAAAACCGAATCCGATCTCTGCGTTTGAATGAATGAACGCTTTTTCAATTTTTGTATGCATGCTTAGCGTGAAGTGCAGCTGCACTAAGCGTGCGATTGTAGGAACGTGTCTCCAACAGCGTCCCGTGCCTTTCCTCGAAGAGAACTTGTCAACAGTCACGGACAAACCGACCCAAGTTGACATCGTCTCGTGTGCCAAGGCGTGACAGCCACGCGGGTCGTCTCGGCCACTGTCTTTTTTTTATTATTAGCGCAGCACAATCGAACACGCGGGAAAGAATGAACCTGGAACATCGAGCTCACGATTCGTCGGCAGGTGAAAAGAGCGAGCGAGAGACGAAGCCGCCTCTGGACTCGCGATCGCCCCGAAAGGATCGCTCTACCATTTCCTGGGATGCGTGGGGTGGCACGGGTCATTACGGTTCTTAGAATCGGGAACTTTCATCCGCAGGTAACATTGTGGCGAGATTTTCTCTCGGGTTTAATATATTGCTGCTTGCGTTCGGACAGCCGCCTGTCCAGCGGTTTATCGGTACCACACCGGCTGGACACATGCTTCCCACCCATCTTCTCGAAGCATTGTAGCTCTAGATAACAAATATGGGTTATGGCAAGCTCACCCCGGTAGCTTTTTACGAGAAAGGTATTGTTAGAGAACGCTTACCGGAGTCGGATAAAATTAAAGGCTTCGCCCTTTCTGGCAATGAATACCGGGAAGGTGTTCAGATGTCCAAACGCCAACTAGACGCCCATTGCAGGGCATCGAGTCTGCGCGAATCGCACATACGAAGTGTTAAAACTAGCAAACAAATATGCGTTGGTAATGCACGCATTGGCCTTGAAACTGATTGTCATACAACAGAGGCCGCCTATTTCATGGCTTTGTCTCACCGGGGCTATGGAGCGAACAGTACAGGGACGGTGCAAACTCCAAAGCATGAACAGCTCGGGTTGAGCTGTTGTATTTATTGGACCTTTTTTTTTGCCAGTATGAATATTTGTTTGACACTGGCGAAAAAAATGTGGTCCCATAGATACACCGTAGTATGTTTCACGGGGAGCCTCGTTATGGAAAAGCAAAACGAATAACGTGACCGGCAATATCCATGCAATGTGAAAATGGATATTAAGCATGTCTATGTAACAGACTGCTGTATATATTATAATATATGCACACCTGCATGCCAGCTGGTCGTGGTGGTGGGTACTGACCATTAGTGCCGGATTATCATAGTAGCAAAAGTAGTTACATGTAGTAGCTACTACACACATGTAGTAGCTACCGGCTCCGCACTTTCAAGGGCCCCGCGCTAAATGATTTCGAGCTATCAATTCCGGTTGAGTGATTCTGCACTTGCTCTATTACTGTAGTACTATACTGCCTTCAACTTTTATGAACGACTGGGTGTTTAAGGTTAGCGATTTGTCGTATTATCTGGCTGTGTAGCAAATGAAAAAAATGCTATTAATTTACTATGCAAGTTAAAAATTAGTGTTTGAATATTTACGTGTTTTTTTTATTTAGGGCCCCTTCATAACATCATACTACAGGCCCCGCACTAGCTTAGTCCGTCACTGCTGATCATGGTGGCTACTCGCCGCATTTGGCACCCCAAGTGGTAGCAACCAACACCCTTCGCTCATGGACTGATGGAGGTCGAGAGTCGGGAGAAATACATGAAGAAAATGTATGATCAATGTGTGTATCCAGCAACGCGTATCCAGCAACGCCTGAGTGTATCGCAATTTTCAGGAGGGTGTTCGATTTAAGTGAGGCCAATGTTTATTTTTTGTTAATGTTTTATTAATATGACTGTTTGCATCTGGGATGAAACTTGAGGTATCTAAAGAAAATCGAAGCGCCTATGTACGATGGGGGGGGGGGGGGGGGGGAGGAACATATAGATTAGCACGGATGGTTTCACGAATCCATTTGCTCTACTGCCATCTCTCGACCACCACGCAGCTCAGGGGACGTTCAGGAATATTTCACGAATGTCCACCTTGTGCACGAAGCCTCGCGTCCAACCGCCCCGGATCAGAGGCACGCACCACCGCAAAAAAACCTCTCCAAAAGCTTGCGGGGCGATGGGAAGGTGACGTCGAAAGTGGCTTGCTGAGTCTCTTACTCCCATGCCCGGACAACAGCACCTCCGATTAGCACGGTTGGCTACGTACGGCGCGAAAGAAGTTCAACATGCATAACGTACGACACGCGTATTGGACACTGTTTAGAGGGGTTTTTTGGGGGGGGGGTTAGATCGCGTAAACATATAAATGTGTCGTTAAAACCCGCCACCACCCGACATAGCTACAACATTTACAATCTGAGAAACGACGTTTTGTAATTGTCGTGGCTTTGCTCTCCAACACACCGGTGTGCTGTACTCGTGACGAATTGGCCACGTTCTGTTTACGTGACAAGCCTTATTAGTTGGCTGTGTCGGGTGGTGGCGGGTTTAACGACACATTTATACATTCACGCGATGTAACCAAACAAATCTCTACGGATGATATTGGTCACGAAAGCTTGCGTGATAAACCGATTAGAGCGACTCGGCTTTAAAGCACGCCTTCTCAACAAGCTCGTACGTTTCACGACTTTGAGCCAAGCCTATGCCAAGGGTGATTCGTTCATAAACCAGCCCGCTGACATTAACAGAGTGAAATTTCGGGGAGGAAAAATTACGTTGTTATTTCACAGCCCCTGCAGATGTGTCCCGCCACCAGCCTCCAATACATTCGCGGTATTCCATCGTTTAAAAAAACCCACAACGCTCTCCGTCTAATGTATGGGACCATCACATTCACACTATTCAATCGCCACTTTGAGAAGGAAGCGATTAGAAATGGGCGGTGGTGTCTATGAATGGATCGTTGCCCCCTCGGTTGGGCTACGTGCGCGTCGAGAGTGCGTGTTGTGGCTCTCTTGAGCTGCGTCCACACCCGGACTCTGAATCGCTAGCGTCGATCGACGTGCTCTGCATCACGCGCTTGCGCGTTCGCGAACCACGAACGGCTGTTTTTTTGCAAATCCCGAATGCCCCCTTTCAATTTGGCCGTGGTGCAGCTGTTCGCTCGGACGTGGACAAAGCAGTTGCAAAGGCGATGACGTATTAAGTTGCGCGGTTTCGAGAGCGATTCGTTGCATCACTCAGACGCGCATTCGGCTAAACACAAGAAGCGGTTGAAGGTAGGCGGGGGGGGCGGGGGGGGGGTTGCGTTTAGAACCTCATAATGCAGAATGCGGGGAGGAATGAACGGGGACCGCTGCTTAGCAGGTGCGATGCAATGGATGGGGGGCGGGGGGTGTCATGCGGCTTGAACACTTAGGGGGTCACGGCTACAGCGGGCCCCACATAATCCCTCGACTGTCCGTCATCCGAACGGATGGACACGCCGAAGAGTCGGCGCATGAAGCCCTCGTTCTTCTTGAGCTCCGCCTCCAGCCAGGGCCGACCGACCCTCCTCATGAACCCGCCGTAGCGCTTGCGGAGGCCGTGCGGCTCCTGCTGCTGCTCCTGCTGCTGCTGCTGCCACTGGCCAGGCGACGATCCGCCTTGCGGCACCAGCAGCCGCCTGCCCCTCATCCGCTCCATGAACCCGCCGTAGCGCTTCGGCCGGAGTCCGTCCGCGCCGGGCTCCCAGAGCCTGGCCTCCGGGATGGAACTTCCCACGGGGGTCGCCTTCGCGTCTCCGAAGACGGAAGCGCCGAGGTCGCTTGGGGCCTCCGCCTCCTCCGCAGCCTCCTCCTCAGCCTCCTCCTCCTCCTCCTCAGCCTGCTCCTGGGAGAAGCCGCGCCCCCCGCGCCCAGCGCCCTGCGCCAGTGGCAGGCAGAGGCCGCACCACCCTCGTTCCGTCGCGGGTGCCGAGTCGGCCTCCCTCGGTGTCCCCGCGGCGGCGGCGGCGTCGGCCGGCACCACCCCCCGTTCCTCATCCCGGCACTCGATGGAGCAGATCTGTTTAACGGAACGCCGAAGAGAGACCCCCCCCCCCCGTGCAGCGTTCGGTAAGCACGCGATTAGGACTCGCATGTCGCGGAGACTTCAGTGGGAATTGAATTCGATGGAAGGGGAGGTTGTGTGTGTGTGTCGCCATTCGCCGGCGGCTGAACCCGCCATCGGCTCTATGCGCTCGAATAGAATCGAATCGGAATTAATCGTGGAGGGAGAGGGGGGGGGTGAAATCCACGTTTCGAACCCTGCGATGTGAACGGCGCAAGCTCAGCGCTGCGACGCCGCCGCTGAGAACGTCCCGAGCCGATGAGCAAAGTCCTCCGGGAATGCGCTCGAGTCCCCGCCACATCTCGAAAAGCTAAGCAGGTGTTGAATCCTGGATAGCGCCTGGTTGGGCGCGACCCGCGTAGCGCAAACAGGGGGGGTGTCACGGGGCTGGGATGCAACTGGGCGGACGGCAGAGGGCAGTGCAGGGGAGTCGATCGTTGTACTCTACTTCTACGACACAGCCATGCTCCCCGCCTTCACCAACACCGTACCGCGCGGCATGGCGAGGTGCGGTGGTGAGTCTACCCCCGCTGCCCGCGCAGGCTTCGGGAGAACATCATCCAGCAGTGGATTGGCTTAAAAGGGGCAGTGTGTAAATGATTGCCGTACATTAGCCAACCAACTCGGTTTAATCGCGGGTGGCTGAAATCCGCATTTCGTGCCCATGATCTAAACACGATCTAAACACGATCTAAACATGATCCAAACATGATCCAAACACTGCCAGTTCAGTGCTCTGCAACTGCCATCGTTAACCCAGAATAATACCTGGCATCATTATTTCCATCCCTTTTCTCCGATCCACTGCTTGATGAAGAACATTCCACGCCGTCCTCCACGGCCATGGAATGGAACCGGGGTGTGCGAGAACCACAGAATCATGGTGCAGCGCGCTGACCGCCTGCCTGCACCACCGCTTCGCTCCTCGTCCACATCATCACCTCGGAAATGGATTCATTATTTAGTGATGCTGCTGCTGCGTTAGCAGTGGCTCACAAGCGAAAAACAAAAACGTCAACGCGTTCCTCAATAACACTGTGGCCCTTAAAAGGAACAATATATAACGAGTGACGTTTCAAGCAATGTTCCATCTTCATAGCACTATGAAGATGGACCGTTGCCTGGCAGTGTTATTCACGAATGTTTTTTTTTTACTTTTTTTGCCCATCACTGATGCTATTGCTCAGCAAAGAAAAAGATCCCCCGTATAGCCTTTAACGGACTGTTGGGGCAAGTGCTGTCAGCCGTGACCACCCATGAAGGCCGACCACGGCACACGAGGGGGTGGGTGACCTGCACCACGCCCGACCGCCTTTGTCTCCCAAATGCCGATGTTTACACAATCGCAGCAGGTACTCATTTGAGGCTGAGTCGACCTCGGGTAGGGCCCAGCACAGGGCTCAAATCATCGTCACCGGTGTCAGCCGCGAGTGAGAAATCTAACTCGGGGAGTGCCGGGGCTTAGCAGCGTACTGCGCAACACCGCTCCCAACACAACGCGCATCGCGCACAAACGCAGCGCCGAGTCGCGGGGTCTCTCTCACCAGCATCGCCAACGGCTTCGCGGGTCTCGCAGCCCGACCGAGCGAGTCGTGGCAGCTGACGCGGCAGCTGCGGTGGCCGAGTGCGACGCCCCGTATCGCACTGGGCGAGCCCGCGGGCGACGTCGTGGCGTGGAGTGGCACCGGCATCACCATCGCCATCATCGGCAGCAGGATCATCGTCAGCATCGTCGGCTGCGAGCTGGCACGCATTGGGCCTCCTGCACGCGCGGCCTGCACCCACACAGCGGCGAATTCACGTGGGCGAGTTAAACGCTGCATGACGACCGCGCAAGCAACTTGGCTCTGCCCGTGGCATTTCGGGTTGCACCGGCGTGCTGTTCGGTATTAGGTCCAACGTTTCGCTCCGCATGCTTGGGAGCTTCTTCGGGAACTGGTGGTGGTGATGACGATGTACTTACTTTAATCATATGTTGTAAAATGTGGTTACGATGCTGCATCGATGCTCGGCAACTTGACATTGCGCTCAGAATCCGATAACAACAATATTCTGAATGTCACTGTTTCATTTGACCAGGTAAAGCGCACTGAGCTCTTAGCTATTATTTAGAGGTGACCTGGCCACTCATGACAGCTCATCGAAGTTGCTTATATCATCATTATTATCATCATCATCATAAGTGGACATTTATAGTCGCAGCCAAATCATCTGAACGCGTGTTGTTTCTAAATTCGGAGCGCAAAAACGGAAGACCCGGAGAAAAATCAACGCGACCACCACGGAGAGGAAGAACAGGCGGACTTCAAATATGCAACAGGCATCGCCAGGGTCCGGAACAGATCCCACGTGCTCCTGCGTGCGATACGATGGAAATAACTCCCTCGCAAACAAACAGAGTATAGGTATGTGTAATCGTGCGGAAAAAAAAACCGGACTTATGCCATGAACAATTAAAAACGATTTGCTTGAAAAGTAAGAGGGAATTGTCTTCCCCGGTAAACATGTGGTTCGTCTCACGCCGTGTTCAGCAAAGGTGTCTTTATAAGATCACGAACAGGTAGCGTCCCCGGGCCATACGGCCAGGTAACACACCACGCTTCAGCACTCCGCATTCAGAACTCCTCTCACCCTCTCTCGCTCTCCCCTGGTCAACATAACCCCCAGGTGATGATTAAATGGCCAAGTGTCCCGAGCGATCGCATTCCTTGTCAGTTTTACTCATTGTTATGGACTTTTGTGCCAGGTTATGATTAGTTCAACGAATGATCGCTCAACGAAGCGGCTTATCATCACGTGGACGTGTATCGCAGCCCAAATCCTCTAAACGCGTGATGTTAATTCTAAATGCGGAGGGCAAAAAACCGGAGGACCCGGAGAAAAATCCACGCGACCACAGGGAGAGAGACACGCAGACTCCAAATACACAGCAGCAGGCGTCAAGATCGAATCCACGACCTCCTGTATACCAGGCGAGGGAGTTAACATCTCGCCACCGTGGCGCCCAAAGATTATTACGCATAGGTAAGTGTACCTTGTCCTCGAGTGATATCCCCTACTACCCCCCACCCCCTTCTAAGGAAGGCTTTGCAGCGTTTCGGAAAACATACCGAGTGAGAAACGAAGCCCCTTGCTGTTCCACGTACCTGGCTGGGTCTGTCGAGAATAAAGAACGCGAGAGAGCCCCCGGCGTGTTGGTTATTTTTTCCTCTTCGTTTCAAGAGCAGCTCATGCTGGTGGTGGTGGGGACTCTGACACAGAGTGTAGGCATCACACGGTCCTTATATACAGGGTGTACGCATCAGACGGCTCCACGGCCGCGGATGAATATTCTTGCGAAGCGAGCCGGCTCACTGGTATCTCAACATCCTGCTTACACCCTCCCTCTTGAATAATAATAATAAATAAAATTTACTTGCCATATATATGACGTGGAATATATTTGGTGCATCATATCCCACAGTCGATACGTATTATGGGTCGCTCAGTTAGCCCAAGACCACGGGCGGCAGTGCAGAACAATCCGTTGTTGTACTGAACTTATGTATGCTCCCTCGTCTTTGCCCGTTACCTTTACACCACGACGCACTCCTTGCCGCGTGGAGAGGCGTTCATCCAACAGTAGATTGACGAACGGGCTGTCTATCCGTGTACATCCATAGGCAACTACGTACGACATAAGACACGCTCCATCAATCAATCAAAGTTCATTGGTCGCATACACAGCTCAGCTGATGTTATAGCGGGTGCAGCGAAATGTTTGAGTTGTCAGATCCACGACATTGAATGAAATGTCGAACAAATAATCAACAAAACTTAGAAAAAATCACGAAATATCAGAACGAATCCAAATTACAAATCAAATGCCACCAAAACAATAATCCAAATAACAATCTGTGCGTATATGCATGGCGTGAATGAACACAAAGATGTACTATGAACGATATGTACAACAATATATTATAATATCTGAGTAAACTCTTGGAGGACATGACTACCAATGTATTATAATTGTTGGTGGTGAGATTTTTTGATTCGTTGTGATTTTCATCATTATTTACGACCATGGGTTAATCACCCAAGCGCTTCGCTGGAAACACCGTAACGTTCGCGTAACATCAAGCAAGGCTTGCAGCCAAACACGAAAATACATAAATAAACATATATACATCTCCGTTCCTTTCTCTACGTAAATAAAAAAGAAAATCAAATATATATGTGTGTTTAGTCCGTCAGAACCACCGTATTTACAGATTAATTAAAATCAACACCAGGGTCTGTTTTAAGCAGGCAAACTCCGCGCCGGTTTCAACATTCAGAGTCTCATCGGCAGAGCAGTGATGGTTTAGTAAATGCGCTACTCTTACTGATGGGCCTAAAACCCAACGACAATGGTAATATTATACAGTATCGCCCTCTGCCAGTCCACTGCTGGATGAAGGTTCCCCAAGGCGTGCCGGTCACAGGGTATGTTTGACCGTGAATCTATATTAAAAATTGTGCTAACACGTGTTTTGTGGAGAAGGGTCATTGCTCGAAACGTCGCCAATCACATTTTTTTTTCAAAGGCAGCGTTGATTTAACGAGTGTATTGCGTTTTTTCCCGTCTTTTTTTGTCGGTGAACTCTGCTTGTGCAACACTGACCAACGCGGTCACCTTTCGCGAGCAGTTTCCAGGCTCACAAATGTCCCCCGGGAGCTTAGCTTCATGAAATCTGAAGACGTCGAGCGCCACCCTCCGCGATTTGGGTCATCGGCATCGCGCTTCTCAATAATCTCAAACAATAAAACTGCAACGCTCCGAGGCGTTGACCGTCGTGGCGTCAGAGGCAGTGGTGGGGGGTGGGGGGTGCGCAAAACCCGCGGGCTCCTGTGCCGCATGCGGCTCCTCGAGGAACTGCTTCGTGACTTTGCCGGCCGCTCACCTGGCCTGGTCGAAGACATTCACAGCCAGGTGGTTTGCGAGCGAGGGATTGGATGCTGTGGTAGCGGTTTGGGCATCTCAAGGGTGGAAAAAAAAACCGCCGATTTTTTTTGGACTAATTTTATCGAGTTATTGGTTTTATATATATAAAAAAAACGATTTTGTCGAAAAAAACCCACGGTTTTTAATCCGGCAAGTCAAGTTGTCGTCAATCGTCTCCAGGGTCATCGGATTGGCTGTCCTCTTCGATCATCTCAACCGCGCCGTCGAAGAAGGCGTGTGAACGTTGCTCTCGATGAAGACGACGACGACCTTCTCCACCGACTTCATTCTCGGGCTGCTCCTCCTCAGCTCGGAGTGAACGAAGGCCGCCGTGGTGGTGGAGGAGGAGGAGGAGTTCCTCTCCGATGCGGCGCTGGACGTGGCGATGCTGGACAGCTCGATGGCGACCTTTTGCGGCTTGGGCCGCTCGCTGCCATCGGACAGCCAAGACTCCATCGGCGTCTTTGCGACCTTTGACCATCATCTTGTAGCGGAACGCGTTGTTGTTTGTCTTCTCTTTGGTGGGGGGCTATAATTATAGGAATGATTTCGGCAATAAAACCGAATACAACCGGATTTTTGGCCATCTGATATGATCGGGTTTTTTTTTAAATGAAAACCATGAAAACCCCGATGGAAGAAATCCCGATGCTGTCAGCCTTGGGGCATCTCTCGCCGCTTGACGTGCGACGTTCGCCGCGTCCTGGGACTCGAACTGGCCGCGGCCCCGGGGTACATCGCGATAGCGCAATGGGAAACAACAACAACAACAACAAAACCCCCCTCGTCGACACCAGCCAGCCACAGTAGCCGCACCATCGCTGCTCGCTCACCCACTACTGGGGGGGGGGGGGTACCCCAGACTTCATTGGCGCGGGAGCACGGACGGAGGGCCCCCCTCGAAAAGTGAAGAATACAATCGCTGAGCTTGAATGAGACCGCGTGCGGCCGGCGACGGGAGTAGGGGAGTGGGGGAGTGGGGGAGTGGGGGTTTAGGTTTGGGCCACTTTAGAACTTTTGGCACCCCGCTTCAGAAGTGCTTTTCTAGTGGGGCCCTCAGAGATGCTCGCAGGGTTGCAGCCCCGTGGGATTTGACGGACGGAGCTCCTCGGCTCGTGAAGTGTCGGGGGCCACAACACCGTGAGGGGTGGGTGGGTGTGTTGGAGAGGGGGGGGGGGACCCACGGAGCTGCGTGGTAGTCAACAGTGTGCCGCGGCTCCCCGTTTTTACGAATTATGCTGCGGCGGTTGCAGGCGCTGGCGTCCGTGGTGGCTTAGCGATGGGGTGCGACGCGCGGAGTTTCTTCGCAGCCTGGGCCGCGCTGATGCTCGTGTCGGGTAAGCGAATGGCGAACTGCCGCGTTGGATGTTGATGGCCAGTTGCGCTGCAAGCAAGTCTAGGCGCCACGGTGGCCAGGAGATGTTAACTACCTCGCCTGGTATGCAGGAGGTCGTGGGTTCGATCCCGACCCTGACGACGCCTGCTGCTGCTGTATATTTGGAGTTTGCGTGTCTCTCTCTCCCTGTGGTCGCGTGGATTTTTCTCCGGGTCCTCCGGTTATTCCCTCCACATTTAGAATCAACATCACCACGTTTAGAGTATTTTGGCGGTTATAAATTACCACTCCATCAGCCACTTCGTTGAGCCATCATTTGTGGCCAGGTCGCTTCTGAAAAAAGAGCTACTACATAGCTCAGTGGGTCTTACCGGGTAAAATGAAAACAAAAAAGGACGAGTTTAATTTTGAGAGTGTTGTTCGGCATTGATGTCCGACGTTTCGGTCCAAGTGCTGGGAGCTTCTTCTTAAAACAGGGGGGGGGGACGGGTCGGCAAACAAAAACAACGAGAGGAGCCATTTTTTTTCGAATTTGGTCCAAAGAAAAAGGCACGCAGTGTCTGAAAGAGCCGCAGGTGTGCCGACCTCTGACCTAGGACAGTTCCAGCTTCTTCAGGAACTGTTCCATAAGAGGTATCCCCCTCCCTCCACCAGCACGTGCAACGAAACGTCGGACATCATGCAGAACGACACGCGGTAACAACCTGAAACGCACACAACCTACGTAGTTGTGTGTTAAATGTACGCGTGTTGAACATCTTTGGCACCGTACGTAGCCGACCGTGCTAAGCGGAGGTGCACAAACAATGGAAAATGTAGATTTTAAATAGATATTTGAGGGGACAAAAAACATTTTTTTGTTGCAAAATGTATCAATTTACAAATTTAATAAAAAGGCTCTATTCGACATGTTGTGATTACCGGGCTTTTGAGCTTCCCCCTCACCCCAGCCCAGCCCGCGTCGTAATTCCGTTACCGCGTCACAATTCTGCTACCGCGCAGTAATTCCGTTACCGCGTCACAATTCCGCCACCGGGCTGTAACTCCGTTACCGCGTAGTAATTCCGTTACCGCGCCGCAACCCCGTTACAGGGCTGTAATTCCGTTACCGCGCGGTAGCTCCGTTACCGCGTCGCAATTCCGTTACCGCGCGGTAATTCCGTTGCCGGGCTGTGCTCCCGTCACCGCGCGGAAATTCCGTTACCGGGTTGTAATTCCGTTACCGCGCCGCGATTCCGTTGCCGGGCTGTAACGCCGTTACCGCGTAATAATTCCGTTACCGCGTCGCAACTACGTTACCGGGCTGTAACTCCGTTACCGCGCGGTAATTCCGTTACCGCGTCGTTACCCCGTTGCCGTGGGAATTTCTCAGTTCTGTAAACTCGCGGGGTGATCTTGCCGAAGCCACATAGGGTAACCCTGCAGCAATTCGTTTGGCGAGCCGCACTCTGCTGATGAGACCCAGAATGCTCGAAACCGGCCCAGAGTTTTGCTCGCTTTAAACAAACGACGTTGCTGGATGATGTTGACCGGCAGAAGTTGGTTATACGGGAATACCTTTTAAGTCGTTTTGCAAATACGTCGTCACTTTATTATTATTATGATTATGAACACCGCTATCCGACTTTCCCCACCTCCAGCCCGCACTCGCGTCGCTGACGGCATTCAAGGACTCCGTGGCCAGTGCAGTACAATGTCGGCTAAAATCAAAGCGCAATGAGACAATATAAACATGCAGCCCTGTGTCAATCCACTGCTGGATATATATTCTTTATTTACCATACGTTCCCACCTTTGTATGCATGTATGTTGAACTTCTTTTGCATCGTACGTAGCCAACCGTGATGATCGTAGGTGCGGGGGAAGGACAACGAACTAACACACAAAAAGCAATTCGAAAGAGTTTCAATCGAGATCATTTAAAAGTGCATCGCTTCCGGTGGCTTCTTAATATCGGACGGAAGAACGTTCCAGACGGCCGCAGAAGCGCACCCTGAAAGCGCCACGCGATGGGGTGACCGCCGCCTTTGTTCGATGGACAGCAGCCAAAAGCCACCGCTGCTGCT